AAGTTTCAAGTTGTATACTGTACAATATAAACAATACTATTGTGAGGTAGACGGAGTAGACCAAATAAAACAAATTAGGCCTATTATGTTGGCCACGCCTATATAAATTATTTTATATATATATTTTATATATATATATATATATATACATATATATATATATTTAATATATTATATATTGTAGGGTTCTTGATTCACTGACCCCGGCAACTTTCTCTAAAATTAACTCTATTAACTCTTCGGGGTTTCGACTTAAAAAATAGAAGATTTCTGTTCCCCAACCTATTTCCCTCAAACCGTAGAAAATTTCATCGCAATAGCTCAATGGGAACTGTGTTGTTGCTAAGGGATTTCTTTGACTGCTGTTGTGATTTTTCTTCAATTTCTTCAGTACTTTTAAAGCCTTTTTGCTCAGAACTTTATAGGCCTTTATAGAGAATAATTATAATTCAAAATGGCTTACCTTTACACATAATTGTCCGATTAAGATCATTGAGCCCTCATTATAAAGTTAATGATGTGCTCTATTAATTTACATTTAAAAAAAACCATTTTGATAGAGTACGAGTTTACAGCCTTTTTGTGATCTTGGGTCACATATGCTTTTACTGTCTGGAAATTTTTGCTAGATTGCGCCACTTTGGATGGGAGCAAAAGCTTTTCTGGCTCCAACCTGCCCGTCTTGTCGGTCAAGTTATGAGATTGTAGTAGGCCTACAGATGATATGCCATTTCGTATATCTCTGGTGTATTTTTTACTTCATCCACATGGAGGCTTTTATTTTTCTCATTGTTTATTCTGAATTCATTCCTGTTGTACAAGATTACACATATTAATGTTATATTTTATTTATGTAGTTATTTTTGTTATTGTTATTATAACTGTCATTAATATATTTTTCTCAAGTTATTTCAACAGATGTTTGCAACTGTACGATCCGTTGGGGTGATAAGTGCTCAAAAAACAACGTTTTTTCTAAAGAATGCCCAGCAGCCTGTCATAATTGGGGACTATTTTAGTGTGATTATCGAAACCCGTAATAGTACTGGCCAACATTGTAAAAGTGGAGGCGATTTCTGGTTTGCAACCATCAGAAGTCACAAAGGTAATGCGGCAGGAAAGGTAATCGACTTCAACAATGGAACTTACGAAGTAATATTTTTTGCTGGATGGACTGGTAAGGCCACAGTTGAAATTATATTGGTACATCCATCAGAGACTATTGATTTTATTGAAGAAAAGCTTTGGCCGATGAAAGATCGAATAATCTGGAAAGGAGTTTTTTCTTATAATAAAAAACATGAGACTAAAACATGTAGATTTGGAAAGCAGAACGAGCACCTTAATCAATGCGTGCACAGCTATCCATTAGCGTTGGGACAAACTGTGTTTCTTTGTGAAAAACCCCAAATACTCTCATGTGACACATTGATTTCACTCAAATCCGTTTCCAATCATGTTGAAAAAAAATTTTCGCAGTTGTTACATGAAAATAAGGCTCTATTTAGCAAGTAAGTATATGCTGTAACTAGTAGTTTTGTTACTGTCATGATAATATGTCTCTCCCTATATAAATGTATATAATAATGTTTGGTACTTAAAACATTTGTAATATATATATTAAATCAATTAAATACACAAATACAAGGTAAGCAATTTAAAATATAAGCAAAAATATTACGTTTATTAGCGAAGAATTTACATGGTGAAGTTGTAGTATCTTTTAACTTATTCTGTAGGGTGGGTAAAATTTAGAAAACTTGGATTCATATTTCTTTCCAAAAAATTACCACTTTCACTCAAGAAAGAGCTGTTTAATCAAATGTATTATACCAGTAATAGCGTATTCAGCAGAAACATTTGCAGCTACCAAAAGAATAGAACAGAGATTGAAAGTGACAGAAAGAGCAATAAAACCACTGTTCCCTGATGAAACGTACAATGATGGGAATTACAAGAAGAGACAGAATCAGAAATGAAGATGTGAGAATGGCTAAAGGAGTGAAAGACATAATACAAGAACTAAAGAAGAGGAAATGGAGATAGGCAGGTCACATAGTAAGAAGGACGGATAATAGATGGACACGAAAAGTAATGGATTGGGTGCCAAGAAATCGAGTTAGGAGGAGAGACAGACAGTGAAGAAGGTGGATGGATGAAATACAAGAATTCAAAGGTATTACATGGAGAGGAGCACAGAGCAGAGAAGAATTGAGAGTCGATGAGAGGCTTTCCTCCTGTAGTGAAGTGAAATAGCTAGATGATGATGATGAAGTACACTCTAGAAGCCTACATATTAATTTCAATCAAATTATGTGATTCCCTTTTATACATGGTACCGTACTCTACGGTACTGTCTGATTGCTTTTGTCTTTGCCACTATGAAAAGTTTGAAATTGCATTACATTATAAAAAGTAAGTAAAAAATACACAAAAATCGAAAATAAAAGTTATACTAAAATCCTTATGAAGTAAAAAAGCCATAAACCTACTCGACGTCAGTAAGTCTCGAACTATGGCTCCGTTCAGCAACCTTTTTAGCATACAACGCAAATTAAATGGCAAGGACTCTGACGCGACCCAAAGGCCAAATTAATTACCTGAATTTCATGGTGAAATGATTGAACATGTTATTGATAGTGATAATAAATTCAAAAATTACGTGCGAGGGATAGCGGAGATCAGAACCATGCTAAGTTGATTCTTTTGTACACATATTAAAATATACTTCATTCACAAAAGATTCTTCATTTCATCTAGATAATAAACTTAAAGACCCAAAAAAAGAAATTAATATAACTTTGAATTACTCATATAAGAGATCCATAACACACGCATTACAAAAGTAAATCGACACAAATGCTAAAGTTGTATGCACGTTGCTATAATTTTAATTTCGTTTTTCGTCGTTCGTAATGAATAAATTGTCAACGATCTGAAGAGATCATGCAACCCATCAAATTTTCCGCGACCCAATTATTAGGTCGCGACACATAGGTCGCGGAACAGTGGCTTAAGTGGTCATAGCAAGGGTGTTATTGAGAGTTCTTACTATTATGCTAAAGAACCCGACCCTGCGGAGGTCAGTCTATTTTCAGTTTTTCTTCTGCCTTGCATACTTTTATAAGTCGAGGGCATGCATTTCACGTTAATCTTGTGTTTAACATAGCTGGAGCTAGTTTGAAACGCTTTAGGCAACGGAACTTGTGTTAACATAAAGTTTAATTATCTTTTTGTAATTTTTTAAAATATTTAAAATGACGTCATGTTTATAATATTCGCATCTTTAATATAATGTGGTTTTGCTTAGACAAAATTTTAAGACCATCTAAGCACGGAAAGTGACAGCTGTGCCGGACGGAAAACCCTGTTCCAAAACAGAAAAAAGGGATAGAAGATGTAAAAATGGGGACAAAAACAATGACTTTTTCTGCTAACGGAAGAAAAGCCAAAATATCAGAACAAAAACAATGGATATTTGTGCTAACGCACTGATGTAATAATAGACGATAACGGTGAATCTATTAAAGGTTCAACTGAAATCGCAAAAGCATTCAACAATTTTTTTGTTGTTGAAATAAGCCCAACCCTTTGTAAAAAAAAAAGGCCGACAAATCCACCTGAATTTAAAAAAAAAAAAAAATTTTTTTTTTTTCAATTTATCAATTCAATCTATCTTGAATTCATTGTTTATGCTTCTGGTGTCGGACACTGAAATTATAGGTATGGTTAAATGCTTTTAAACCTAACAGACCACAGGGACTTGACGAATTTAGCCCAAAAGTTATAAAACGATCATTTTTTTTTTTAGTCGAACCTCTTTGCCATATATTTAATTTATCTTTATAAAACGGAGTTTCACAGACAAATTGAAATTGACAAGACTTTCCCCTATTTTTAAAATGGGTAGGAAGGATTCATTATCCAACTACCGACCAATATCTATTCTTACTGTATTTTCTAAAGTATTAGAACACATTATTTATAATACAACATATGATTTTATTGAAAAAAACACGATATTCTTTTTAATAAGCAATTTGGGTTTTGCAAAAATTATTTAATAAACCATAATATTGACAAATAATTTTTCATAGACCTATGTTAATTGAAATTTTACTAAAAACAATAGTTTAATTTTTATTTTCTTATTTTAATTATGTATGTATTTTTATAATTTTCATTTTTATATTGAAATGTTGTATCATTACTATTATTATCATTGTTAATGTTTGTCGTCTTTTTGTTAACTTATTGTTAATTGTTTTGGGCACATCCATCCCAAACCCTGTTTCAGGAATTGTGCCCTCTTCAATTCTTATTTATTTATTTGTTACATTTTAAATAAAATTGTAATTACGTTTTTGAAAGAAATGAATGCTATTTTTGAATTGAATTGATTCGTGTTAACATAAAACATGAAACCTAAATCAAGTGATCTTTGGAAATAGATAAACTTATTTAACGATGTGAACAATATTATTTGTATTTATCAGGGATGTGACGTATGCCAGGCTCATTAATGGTCCTCATGCAATCGAAATTATATCAACAGGTAATAACCATTTTACAAAGGTATATTTAAACGTATTTTTAATATGTTTGAAACACGTATGGATTAGGTTTGTTTACACGTCTGTATATAGTCCGGGTACTCGTCATTTCGTGAGAACTGTATTATCATTTTACAGTAGTTTTATAACCTGCAGGCCTAGATGCCAAGATGTAGAAACTCTATATTTCGACACCTAATTTGCATATTTATGCTAATAAATTCAACAAAATTGCGTTTTCTGTTATTTTTAATTGGAGTAAGAGTAATGTAAATTTGGAAGAATTCAGAAAAAGCGATAGTCTACGACTAATGGTTTCAAAAATAAGGGAACCTTGCGTTTTTGCCCCAATTGCATATTTAAGAAAAGTTGTATATAAACTGGAATGTGGAAAATTTGGTTACAAATTTTATTCGAATCATGATGCTAAACTTCAGTGTGTAAAATTTTGTTAAAACTTTATTCGAATCATCATGCTTTAAAACATAGAAAAATTGTGCGCAAAATTAATGACTCGATTCAGCATGCTTGAAAGTATATATTTGACATTTCAGCAAAAAAAAAAAAAAAAAAGAATTAAAAGAGTCATAAAATTTCCACTAAAGGCCTTTTCTTATAAAATTCCCAGGACTAATGCATGACTTAGGGTACTGTTTTAACTCCTATTTGCATGTGAGAAAATTTAAGGTTAAGATTGGTAACTAAACTTCTGATGATAGAATTCTTAGCTATGGCTTGTCCCAGGGTACGTGTGTCGGTCCTTATATTATCTTATTTTGTCCGCCCGATTTCCGATGTTATATTAGTCGTCATGTTGGTATTCAGTTTCATATGAATGCTAATAATCTTCAAATGTACATTAGTTGCGATCTCAATGATCAAATTGATATAACAAGAATCCTACCAGTCTCTCAAACTTAACCGGTGACAACACAGTTTTCATTGCGGCAAGTTTTGTGCTCATTTGAGTAAATTATCAAAGTTGAGCTTAACTTCATTCATCCATTCAATATTTATTTCAATTGTATAACATTAGAAATACAGTGAAACTGAGTAATTTTTAAATTAGACCATCTCAGAAAGTAAGAAATCTTGGCATCATATTTGACAGCAGACTGACTAATGTCTGTTACTTATCACCTTAAAAATATGACACATCCACAAATATTATCGATGAATCTACCAGGTGATCAGGTCTCTTGTCATCTCAAGACTTAATTACGCTAACTCACTTTTATACAGTTCATCAGCTAAAGATATCCGACGTCTTCAACACTTCAGAACAATTGGCCGCCAAAATAATTTTTCAAGCTCGTAAATTTGACCACGTTACACCTTTTCCAACAACTCCATTGGCTTCCTGTTTCCGACCGTCTCAAATTTAAAGTTCTTCTCATTATCTTTAAATGCCTACATACCTTAGCTCCGTGCCATGTTTCTGTCATGACATACTGTAACTGCAAATGAGACACAGAACAAATATATCATGTATAAAATTAATGGTTTTAATAAAATAAAAGTTCATCGATCAAATAATTAACTGCTGCTTTACCTTTCGAATCATTTACGGCTATAACAATGCAGTTGCAGTACAATTCGTCTACCAAGTCTTTCGAACTGCTAGGGCTTTTCCCCTCAGTCTGCATTACCCTATCATCTTTCCTTTAAGGTATTCTATGTTCAACTCCTGGCTAGATACCTCTTTACTTCTATTACTGTATATGTATATGTGTGTATATGCATTTGCCTATGCATATGTACATGTATTTATGTATATGTATGTATATACATATACATATATATATATATATATATATATATA